AAAGGCCTCTTCAAGTTTTCATTCTAAGCCTTTTCTTTTTGTGCTGTGAAACTAGGTGTCTCTCAAAGAGGCAAAATGATTTAAATATCTCCTTTTTTTTTTCTTTTTGAGGGGCATGTCTTTTTAAGATTCAGAAATCAGTGAGCCTGTTAGAGGATGTACATCCTTTTTTATCTCCTGTTGATAAGTGTTAATGTTAGTATGTATTTACCCAGATACTGATTTTAAAAGCCTCATTCACCTTCAACTTTGTACTAAGCCTCTCTCTTTTACATTGTCCTTCTCTAATGTTTAACCTCTTAGTTATAATTCTGAAACCAAGAGTACATCTCAAGTATCATGTAGCTGTAATGGGGATTTTGCTTCATGACTGTAGCTACTATTTAATGCTCTGAGTAAAAAAAAATGTGTCTTAAAGGATAGCCTGAGTACTATCATCAAAATAATGCTATGCTGGCTGAGGACCCTCAAGCAGATTACAGTGTTTCCCAAGTTTAAACAGCCAGCTAATTTTTTCTTCATTTTTATGCAGGTACTTGAGACACTTACAAAATTCCTGGCCTACATTATATTGACAAGATCCCTATTTGTTACTAAAATGTTTGATTTTGGTACTAAACCTCCTAAATGTAATGATTTGCTTAATGAATTTTATGATTAGAAAAGAAATCTCATATTATTTTTATTTCATAAAAACGTCATATTTCTATAGAAGTGGGCAGTCATTAAAAACCCTAAATGAAAACAAAACTCCTTAAATTAGAGAACTTCTCAATAATACAGGAGAAAACAAACATTTCTAGTTCTAGTACTAGTTAGGACAAGCTAGTGCTCCATTCTCCTCTTCAGTGCAGAAACTCAGCTCTCTTCAATTTTTGGAACTGTTCTGAGAGCATCTGTAAATTACAGATGTGGTAAATCTGCATCACACTGATTCAACTTGGTAAGAGCAAGCTTGATTAAAAGGTCCTTGGATATGGTTTTTCTGCTTTAGGAAGTAAATGTTGATAACAACCCACTAAAATGGAAACTCACTAAAATGGCAGAACCTCAAATAACAGAACATAGGATGCCAGAGCTGTTTACAGCTTGTGAAGCATCTTTTATGCTTCTCTGTTATACACACACTTACCTCCCTCTCCCCAGCATACATACAGTTGTATCCCAGCAAAGAAAAAGTTCAGAGAAGATGAAAGTTGTCACAAAAGCCCACCTAGCACCAAGGACTTCAGGGAGATGGCTAAAGAAGTGATGCTCAAGATAGTGCAGGAGGTTTGAAAACATTTAGGAAACAGTAAGGCCTTCACACATAATTGCAGAGTAACAAGAAGTGGGAGGAAGCATAGGAAGGTGGAGTATGAGACACTGGAGAGGCCATTGGTTCAAGCCCAAACATAATCCCAAAGTCTTGAAGAACCTTGGCCAAAGCCACTGTTTTAACACCCTGCTTCACACAGTCCAGCACCTAACCAAGTTAGAAAGGGAATCAGATCTGTTTGATCTGTTTGTACAGATTTTCAAATAAAAAGTTTCCAACGTTCCTCAGTCATGTGACATAATTCTCTCTCTCTCTCTCTCTCTCTCTCTCTCTCTCTCTCTCTCTCAACATGTGTTTAAAATTAGATTTGGAGGTGGCAAAAGCAATTAAAGGTAATTAAGAGTGAGAAGATTCTTCTTTGAACTTCCGCCAGAAGTAGCCTGATTAAGGTTCTTATATTCTGACACTTTGGGGAAGTGGAATATGAGAATATAAAAGAAAAAAATTCTAAAGCAAGGGCTGAGATTAAGTAAGAAGAATAAGGGTGAATACCATGTTCAGGAAAGTAAAAATTAAATGGGATTAATTTGGGAAGGCATTAATAGGAAGCAGCTTCTCAGAAAGGAGAGGTTTATAGGTAATGGCAATCAGAAATTTCAGACCAAGGAAAATTTCATGTATCTGACTTGAGATACCAGTGTTAGGGCAAAACATTATTTTTATATCATTGGTCCTCACTCCACTATGGCAGCTGGTTGAATAAGAAATCTCCAAAAAGTCAGGCTTACTATGTTGTGACAGAAAAAAAAGAAGTGTGAGTTAAAATTAAAAGACAAAAGAATTGTGAGAGGAGAGACAGGATCAACAAAGCTTTAAAAACTAAAGAACACAGAACATCATGTACTGAGTGGGATATTAAGTATAATTAAGAGAATAAGCATCTTCTGACTTGCCCTATTGCTCATTTCTCAACTTGGATTCTTGTTATATTTTTATACAGAGTGGTTACAGGTCACTAATTTATATGTTAATAATAAAATTTACATATAGTAAAAATTATATAATGTACTGTAGGCCAATAAAAAAAGCTAAGCATAAATCTGGCCACTCTACCCAGGCAGGTCTTCTTAATCTCATATGATTGATTCATAAAATGGGAAATGCAGGCTTCGGGGATTAAAAGATTGCACTGTAGCCCTGGCTGGTGTGGCTCAGTTGGTTGAGTGATGTCTCATGCACCAAAAGGTTGCCAGTTAGATTTCAGTTCAGGGCACAAGCCCAGGTTGCAGCTCATTCCCCAGTAGGGGGCCTACAAGAGACAGCCAGTTGATGTTTCTTTCACATCGATGTTTGTTTTTTTCTCTCTCCCTACCCCTCTTCCTTCTTCTCTTTCTAAAATCAATAAGAGCATATAAAAAATTAAAGAAAAAGCTAAGCAAAATAAGCCAGTCAGAGAAAGACAAATATCACATGATCTCACTTACATGTGGACACAATAAAATAATGAATAAAATAGGACCAGAGTCATGAAAACATGGAACAGATGTTCGAATATCAGAGGGAATGGGGTGGAGGGGCTGGGAAGAGATTAACTAAACAATTTATATGCACATATGCATTGCCCATGGACACAGAAAATAAGGTGGTGAAGGCATGGGATGGATGGGAACTGGGGGAGGGAGGGTGGGAGACAAGGTGGTAAAATGGGAGGACATCTGTAATACTCTCAACAATAAAGATAAAAAGACACTTTAAATAGAAATTATTTTTAGAGAAAGGGATGAACCCTGCCATAGAATTGGCCCCTAATGAGGTCCACAGAAGAAACTGAAAGATTATCTATTCCAAAGGACTAATAGCAAGGTCTGACAAGAAAATTGTTTCCAACAGTTTCAGGTTTTCCTTCTACCCCACCTCAGCCCCTTTTGAAAAGCTGAACTGATACTGAGAAAAACTAGATAACTGCTCCCATAGTTATTTTTTACAAAACACATTGTATTCATGGAACATTTTATTCATTTCTTCTTTTAATTGCCAGCAGGTGATTTTGAAGTCTGAAGTCTTGGGGTTCACAAAATAGGCAGAGTTGGTGATTCCAAACCAAAATTCAGCTGCAAAATATAAAAAAACCCACACATACACACAAAACCAAAACAAATACCAGCTCCTAGGAACCAGCCATAGAATTTAGTGCAAACAGCTAGCTATCAGAGTGGAGAAATAGAAGAAAGTGTTCCAGTTTGATTATTTTCCCTTTTGGATGGCAGCTGTAGAGGAGGAGACATGTTTCATCTGGTGCCTTTTGAGTAAATAATTTTCCAGACCTGAAGCAGCTTCACAAAATGCTCCTTACCCACTCATCCCTACAGACACACACAATCACACCATCAAGAACACAGGCTTGTTCATTTTGCAACCTAGTTATAAGTAGTAGAGCAGGCTGGTGAAAAAATTAATGGACTGGGAAGTGTGTACATTAATACATGTGACAGGCTTCCTTCCATTTCTGACTACTTTCAAATGTTTCTTCTCTGTTAGGTGGCAATAACTAGGTAGATTCATATTTTGCTTAAAATTTCCTTTTAAACATCTTCCCCCTTTTTTAAATCCCCCGTTCTCCCACCCTCTAGTCTCCACCCTCCCACCCACAGCATATATATTTAAAGGTTAATAGGTTAGTAACAGTATTAGTAAGAATAGTAAGGTTAACAACAACAACAACCAACAACATTAATAATATTAATCCCCTATATCTGTATAGCACTTTATGATCTACAAAGTGCTTTCACATCCATTATCTCATCTGTGCCATAATGCACCCATCATCAGATGCACAGACCTTCAACTGTGCAAGGAAAATAGATCAAATGTTAGAAGTAAAGTGGTAAATAAAGGGGAAGAAAAAAGCTAGCAGTGAGAGATGTTGGAGCTGTGAAATTTAAAAAGGAGGGGGGAGGATTGAATAAAAAATGTGATTTCAAAAATATATATAAATTGAAATTTAAGTATAGTGCGTGGCTTCAAATACTATTCATCCTCAGACTAAGTGTATATGGCCTCAAAATTAATCATTACCACAAATTGTTCATTTTATCACACACACACACACACACACACACACACACACACACGCATAACCCATAAGAGTTAAGAGTTGTACTGAGATGTCTTAATGTTTTCTTTAAATGACATTGGCATTGCAAGATTAAGCACTTAGAGAACAACTAAAGCCATGATATGAGTGCACTTTTGACAAAACTGGAATAAAACATGTAGGAAACTATTTAAATAAAAACAATCTATGTACTTAATTTACCATTAGTGTTGATTTATAGCTATTTTATAATTTATCCCAGACTATTATAAAATATATAAAACTGAGATATAAAGTATGAGCAATATAACTTTGCACTTTAAATAATTTTCAGCTACAGATTTTGCTTTTAGAAAACAAACTTTAAAGTTTCCTTATAAAACATTCTGTAAATGTATATACTTGGGTCCCTGATGGACTTAGCTGTTATCACTTCCAGACTTTTCCGACATTTTAACCCTCCAAAAATGGAATAAACAAACCTTTATTGTGCCATGCTTAATTCTTCATGTTTCCACATAGTACAGTAGAGTTTGAAAATTTTAAATAATGTATGTATGCACATATATAATATACTTAAAAATCCATTAATGCTATTTAAACTGTGGGGTGAATCTATGAGATGAGGTAAGAAAATTTGGCACATCTCAAACAGCATTTTTAAGTTTTGGTAAATTGTGTAGCACAACATATGTTTCCACTGTGATCTATAGGTGCTATCCACATAAGTGGGGTGGTTAATAGCAAGAATCACTGGGATATTTCTAGTAAATCAACAGGGATAAGCTCCCCAAATACTCACAACCAAATGTCGACAGAAGTAAAAATATATACAATAGAGTCACTTGTTTGTAGTTTGGCACAATGTTTGCCTTTTTTCCCCTTGGGTTAATAGTGCATAAACTTCTTGTGCAACTGTGTGACTTTTAAAGTCTTTTACAAAGAATATCAGATTAAAGTTTGCTTTCAAAGACTTATTCTCACACTTTAAAATTCTTTTCTTTAAGCACTTACATGTCAACATACATACCACAAGGTATATTTTTAAAGAAATAAAATAGAAACATCAAATGTCTTTCTGGAAAATGTGAGCCTCTTCTTCAAATACAGGTAAAACCCAAAATGCTGTTTCTGCTTTTAGGAGATTGTAGTCGGAATCCCTGCAGAAAAACCAAACAATTTATGCCATCTTAGTCAGTTTTAGAGTATGTCCCACAAAGGGATCACAAAATCTAAATTTGTTTACATCATACTAAATACCGTATGATGCAGAAAAAGATAGAAATAGCAGGGGCCACTAGAAAACACTCTTAATTGCTGCGCGATTAAATTTTGCTTTCCAAATTACTTTTTTAAAAAAATAATCTGTATAACATTTTAATTTCGTTGTTGAAAATTTTTCTTTCTGCAAAGCCCTTCCCTTCCCAAAATCATTCAAGAGCATATTTTTAGTTCCATTTTGTCAATAAGTAAAAGCTAATATTGGATAGCAGAAAAAGTAGCCTTGTTAGAGCTTATACTTAGCCAAGCCACAACCAAATAGCCCAATATTTTGGGTGGTTTAAAAGTATAGGGATTTTCATGCACTTTTATTTTTCCTTTTTACTTTGAAAGAGAAGGGAAATGGGCAGTTTCTTTCATGCAAACTTTTGCTTTCAAGAGGGGAAAAATGATAGACGGTAGGCTTTGCAGGTAGTAGGAAAGCTAAGGGTGCATCATCTCAGCCATTTTGTGCAGTATTACCTCAGTTTTTCAAAAGAAGCTGTCCCAGCCTCATCCTTTTGGACCAGTTCTCGCTCCACACGCTTTCCTTTACACTTCTCATCTCTCAGGGCCTTGGTGCTGGTTTTGTGACGATATAACTTTTTGTGTGTTGGTCCATTATTACCGAAAGTACTCAGGTTATTACACTTTTTATCAAAGAAGGCAGATTGAGAGTCCTCATTATAACCAGGCATGTGTGCACCACCAGGATCACCTACTGCTGCTTTCCCATTGCTTTTACTCACACCCTTGATAGACCTGTGATTCTTAGTGGCTCCTGGTGACCCACTGTTGACTTTTTTCTTAGATTCCTGTGGTGTTCCAGCCAATATTTTGAGGGTTTTTAATTTTAGACTATTGGACTCAGGGGAATAGAATATGTTGGGGTCCCCATGGTGCTGTGTGGGCTCCCATAGTGGCTCTATGGAGGCCATCATGAATCTCTGCACATCTGCCATACCAGAGGCAATGTTGGACAAAATATAAGAAGGTTCCTGAAACTCCCGCTGGTCATCATCTAGGAGGCTGTTGGTGTTGGTGCCCATGCTCATGTTGCTCCAGCCTGGGCTGCTCTCTTTACCCAAAGCCCAACCTCCAGAAAGTCCCTTCTGATTTGGCATCTTCATAGAGGCCCCAAGACCACCATGTTGGATACATTCGGTTAGTGTCTTCCCTGTGGAGCATAGGCTGTTGATTTGACCTCTCTCGTGGCCAATGCCAATTTGCATTTTCTCTCCATTGATTGCAGCTATGTATTTCCCTTTCTTTATTGACTTAGGGACCTGGCGGAAGGTTTTACCAGATGGCTTTTCAATCCCTTTGGTGGTGGTTTTGGGGGATTTTTTCCTGGTATTTTTCTGAGAAGAGCTTTGGTTCACAGACCCACTCTTGTTGGGAAAACTTTTCTTTCTTGATTTCAACACTTTGTTATTGGCATTCATTTTATCAGATGGATCATCAAATGTTGATAAGCCAGGGTTTTTTTGGAGCAGGCTGACAGAATCATCATCATTGAACATATGGAACTGAAACTGATGACTATTTAAAGAAAATCCATCCTCCACTTGGACTTGTTGTGGAAGGGTAGTGCAGTCCCACTTGATCTTGTCCATATTGCTCAGTGATCCTGGGACACCCTCTTGGAATCCCTTCAGTGTTCCTAGCATCTTTGTACTGTCACATCTGGTAATTTGAGGGGAAATACTGGGGGTGTCTGGTGGGGACATCTCTGAGAGGGAAGAGTGGCGGAATTTGTCAGGAGTGAAGTTGGAGATATCCAGGAGATCAGTGGATTCCTTTAGTGGTGCTATTTCATCAATGCTCTGCTGGATCACCAGCTTGGGGCTACAATGAGCCAGGAAGTTATCAGTGATATCCTCATCAGCATCCTTTTCACAGGACTTCAAGCGTAAGGAGCAATAATTGCTTGAATTGACAGAGAGTGGGGCCATGGAATCAAAGCTAAATAGTCTACCATCATCTATATTGACTGGGTCTTGATGGAAAGGAAAGCAGATCTCGCCATTATTAAAGTGGCATAATTGATAAGACTCATCAGATGGAAGATGGGTGTCTTGCACAGAGGCATATAGGACCTTGTTGCAACCACCATCACCGCTATTGAGGCAGATTGGATTGTATGTTGCAGCTGTGAGGTTATTTTCCATGGACACTACCTGGGAGACTCCAAATTCACTGGATTGGGTTGGGGCTGTCTCCCTTGAGACTTCAGCTATGAATTCCTGGGGACCAGAAGTAGGCTTGTTGGGCCACATATTTCCATAGTTGCTTGATTCCATTTTGAAGTTTTGGGATGACTGCTGTAGCTCAGACTCAGAAGGTGAGGAAAGCACACAGTCCTGGTCAGATTGGAGAGGTACAAACGATTTTTCTGTATGAGTGAGGCTGCCTTCATTTTGTTCTGGGGAATGGTGAGTGAAGTATGAGATAGCACTATTATTTGACAAGTCAGAAGCATCTAACAATGTCTGTAGATACCCTCCAGGGATAACAGGTATATTGGTGGTAACATTAGCAGATGATAGAGGCATTTCAGAAGAGCAGGTTGTTGGTAGGAAAGTAGAATTCTTAGCAGCCTTTGCCTCACGAAATTCAGATAGATGGGAACTGTTTGAGGTCCCAGGAATAGCTTCATTATTTAAATTAGTCTTGGAGGATCTGTCTTCCAAAAGTGGACTCATTTGAACAACTGGCTTGCTTTCTTGCCCAGCTTTGATTTTCTTAGATTTTAATTTGGCTTCACTTTTAAATTTGATTTTGTTGAGCACTTTCCTCTCTGGCCCCTTAAATTCTGCATCTTGGGCTTTGAATTTCATTGAGTCAGGGCTTGTGATGTTATTTAAATGTGATCCATTTGCACAGCTGGGAGCAGCCAGAGGGGGTGATTTCTGTGCATCTTTCAGGCTTCCATCTTCTTTAAGACTAATAGCTTTCCTCTGATCATTGTAGAATGAAATTTGCTTAGCACTTGCTGAAGTTTCCATGGATGGGATTCTTTGAATCCTGTGCCTGTTTCCAAGTTTATATTTTCGTTTGCGAGCAGGTGGCAGGAATGACACCTCAAAGCTACCTGATTCAAAGATTTGCTTTGGGCATAAGTGTGTCTTGTTGGAGTCTGTGCTGCTGTTTCTCTGCTTCTTCTTCTTCTGCCAGAAGCCCTTCAAGGGCGCCAGCTTGGCATATTTGTTTAGCTGATGCTCACTCAAATTCACTGTTGTCTCACTAGCATCCACCCTACCCAACTTCACTAGCATGTTCTTCTCACCTTTAAAGCGATTGATGATAATGTATTTGATAATAACAGGGGGCTCTTTCCGGGTTACTTTTCTTCTCTTCTTGGGACACCATTCATCATCATCTTCCTCTTTGGAACCACCTGGAATCCATTCCTTCCTCTCATTTACTTTTTCACCCTCTAGTGAGTCAACATCATATAGATAATCTTCACTGTACCTGACTTTTCTCTTTACTCGCAGCCCATAGTTCTGCTGGGTGGAGGAGCCACCAGAATTATTATCCCGAGCCATATAGCGGCTACAGTCTTTGATCTCTCCCATGGCATCATAAGAGACTTCAATGAAGGAACTGTCATCACTGAAATTCCCTGATGACTCCAAGGAATTGGCAAGATGGCCTTGTTTTGGATTCTTAAATTGCCCTTCCTCAGTCCCACTGCATGGTTTATTTAAGGCAGACTTTTCTCCATTTTCCTTTCCATCATTTTTCTCTACATCTTTATTTTCCTGCCCTTCTCCTTTGCCTTTCTTTTTGTCTAGATTTTTATCTTCCTCTCCCCAGATGATGCTCACATCAGGGACCTTGAATTGGGAAAGATCGCTGTTCTGCTTCAGGGCCCCACTTTTACACTCCCGCTTGGAGCAGGTAGTAAATACACTGGGGAAAAAGTTGAATTGTGCATCCTCCTGCATCAGAAGGGTAGTCTTGTCTCGGACATTGTCCTGGAAGGACTCATATCGAATTTTCAAGGAGCAGACATCACTGCCCAGTGTTGACTCATCATCATCAAACATGTAGTTATCCACATCTTCTTCAGAGAATAGGTTGACAGACAGCTCATTCTTAGAACATAGGTCAAGAAGTTCAATCTTACTCTCACTAATAAAAGTCTCAAAGTAACCCCAATCCTGATTGGAATTTGCCAGCAAAGCTTCTTCCGTGTTGCACTTATCTAACAGTAATGCCTCATAATAACTTTTCTGAGCTGGATCCTCCAAGTCGATGTCAGGTTTCTCAGCTTCTCGTCTATCTCCTGCCCTTGATTTGTGTAGGGGGAAGCTGAGAAGCTGGTCTGAGAGCAGCTGCTCTCCGTATTTCATATTTTCTCCAGCATTAATACACTGAATCCCTATATCAGAGACTGCACAAGTTTCATAATCCCTATTTAGATCACCAACTTTTAGACTGATCCCTGGCTCAGGATCTACTGTATCCTTAGATTCCATGAAGCAGCCCAAGCAAGTCCGGCTTGGCTGCATGAGGCAGTCCCCATTCAGAGCTGACAAGCCTGCAGGCTCCATTATGGCAAATGAAGCTTTCTCACACTCATTGGGCAGTGACCATGTGTTTAGGCCTTTTCCAACACCAGATGTAAGGGAGATGGCATTCACAGAAGCACTATTAGCAGCATGCTCAGGTGCTTCAATCAGGTCCAAAGGAGAGGGAGGGCTCTGCATACAGGGTTTCTTGGAGGGCAGAGGCAAGAGACCCCTGGGATACATCAGGGTCTCTTTTTGAACCATGGGTATAGGCTGTACAGGTGCAGCAGCCTCTAGAGCTGCAAATGACTTCATTGCCATATCCTGGTTCTCTGAGTCTAGAGACAAGGGAAAAAAAATGACAGGAATAAAATTAAAGGTTTTAGACCAAACTCATTAATTCTCCTTCCCTTGGTCAGTTTCTGGTACTTGATCTTATTATATAAACTCAGCTTCAGTTTCTTTAGCTTTAGAATAAGAAATTACAAGTTAAAGACCAACCCTGATTTTATATTGAATATTCATGTGAGTGAAATACATTATTTCCTTTAGATTCAGCTTTTCCTTCAGAGACTTTCCTCAGAAGTAGAAAAGAAGTAGGCTGACTGCTCAATTAATTGGAAAGTCAAGGATTTCAGGGTAACAAAATGCTCAGGTGGGATATTCATGGTTTTAAGCTATGAGGCTCAGTCCTATTCTTCAGACCTCTGTTCTGGAAGCTCATACTGAATCTGAATGTTCCAAGCCTCACATCAGAGCATATTTCTAATTCACTAGGGATTTTGAGGAACTTAAGTATTCATTTGAGGGAAATGATTTGGAAGAGCAAAGGGATTGGATTATATATGTCTCAGAGACCCTTCTAGCCCAGTTAGAGATTTGGTGGAATAAAATTTAGGATTAACATCAATATCAGAGGCATTCTGAACTTAACCTGTCCAAGCATTATGGATAGCAAAATAATAACAAAGGACTACTGGGAGAGATATTATGTATTATAATTAAATTCCCTTACCATTTTCTTTGACCCCATTATTCAGAGTGTTTTCTCCATTGGCTGAGGCAACAACAGCCTTATCTTGTTGGTTATCCATGAATGTAACCTCTTAGTGTTTCATTCCAAGTCCAAATGCTGTCCAACCTGCACATTTCAAATATATATTAGTCATTAAACTTGTTTTTCTCTGTTTCAAGGTTATTTCAGATAAAGAGGTCTTAAAAGTCTCACTGGATTTTACCTGTTTCCAGAGTGGCTTCATTATTGCTATTGTTGTTGTTTTATAGTATATATCTACCATATAAGTCAATTTGGAAACTTATACTGCAGTCATACATCCTAGATCAGTGATGGCGAACCTATGACACGCATGTCAGAGGTGACACGCGAACTCATTTTTTTGGTTGATTTTTCTTTGTTAAATGGCATTTAAATATATAAAATAAATATAAAAATATAAGTCTTTGTTTTACTATGGTTGCAAATATCAAAAAATTTCTATATGTGACACGGCACCAGAGTTAAGTTAGGGTTTTTCAAAATGCTGACACGCCGAGCTCAAAAGGTTCGCCATCACTGTCCTAGATCTTTCTATCCCTTCTAAGCCACCAGATTTTTCAAAAGTGAAATCTGAAGAAGTGGCAAACTTACACCTTCTTCTAAATAGTAAGACATTTCACTTATTCATGGCCGTCCAATTAGGGAGGATGCAAAGTGGAGTCCAGAGTAACCTGGAGTCAAGGTGTGTATTCTTGTGGAAATTGGTTTAATTCTGTTTGCCTCATTTCTACTTAAGATGATCTGAAGCTCTTCAAAAACAAGCCAATCCGCATATACACACACATATATACATCACATTCAGATATTTTCTCTCTCTGCCTTAAAATTTGACAGCTAAGGATGAAAGAGGTAGATAATTCTTTGGTTTCTTGACTTTCCTAGCCTTATCTCTGGGGTTAACAAGTATCAACTAAGCCCACATCAAGATTTTAAGATGTGACCACAAAGAATATCTGAAATTTATAAAAAAGTCTCAGCATCATCTAATATTTTAGGTCATAGAACACGTATTGATAGCCCCTTATCTCCTGCTCATATACCTGTGTGGTAGGTATATGCAAAATGACAGGAGTCAAGGTTATCCTAGATGAAGTGTCTACTGTGTTCTCTTACAACATCTATAAATCCCTATTCTTTCAATCCCCCTTTTCCTAGACCTTTTCCTCAGTTAAGTATTAATTTCTGCATTAAGGAACACATACCACTGATGGTCAAGCAGCTATTACAAGAACCTCAATTGTATACTCACTTATCCTAATGCATTCATATACTATAAAAGGTAGTCCAGCATTGAGGGAACAGAAAGCAGTAAGCATATTTAGTTTTACATGGTTCAATCTATGTGATATTTTACCTATCTAGGCCTATTTCCTTATCTGTAAAATAAGAAGTCTATATTAGGCAATCATCCAGTTTTAAAAAAAATGTTAGATGATCCGGAATTTCCCCTAACATTCACATATCATACTTGCAAATTTTTTTCTCATTTTATACAAGATCTGACTTGAGAGTAACCAATAAACCACAGGTGTCAGGGAAAGAGAGAAAGAGATGCTTATTTGTATTTACACAGAAAGAAGAACTGGAGACTTCCAAAGGTAGAAAAAAATTCTAGCAATGTTAAAGCCCCCTTCCCTTGGCAAGAAGGGTTCATTTGTGGTAGAACTAAAGGATAAGATCAGATAGCCGAGCCTCTGCTTCTGAGAGGACCCTATGGATCAGATGGAATCATACTGTCATGATGGATTGCTCTGTGCATCTTTCTTTTTAAGAAACTCAATAGAACTTCAGGTTTCATTTTACTCCTCTTTAACCCCTCCACTAATTCCATTTTGGCAGAGTTGATAAGGGGAAATTATTTGTATAATTCAATAATTTAGTGTCTTCTTGTCCCTTCTGTATAAAGTTAACTGCAAGGAAGCCCATTTGTTATCACCAGGAAGATTAAGGCACAGAGAAACAAACAAACAAACAAAAATAATGTGACAAAATAACAATCTATGAAAGGAACCCAAGTCTCCTGACCAAAAAGACTAGGTATGTTTTTCTTGAAACACAACGTGCTTTCTTTATAATTCTTAGCATTTACAACCCCTGGCCCAAGAAAGCCTGCAGAAATACAAATTTCCACATTACTAATCTATATTTCCAGCTCCTTTCAGAGAATGAAATAAACAACAGCTGCCTCAGACAAATATTGATTTTTAGTAGAAATTAATATATATATATTTTAATTAATATATAGCATTTAAGTATCAAGAATTATCCAATCTTGTAAAATAGGATAAGGACACGATGTCAGGGTATGTTAGTGCTATTATAACTTTACTCTGGGATGTTATTGCCATAAGAACATACATTTCCATTAATAGAAAATCTAATCAAGCACTCAGGATTTATGGCTTTGAAATAAAGGGAATCTTACAGGATTGGTAATAGAAGGAAGAGATAAAGAAGAGGTGCTAATAGCTCCTGTCCCAGCTATCTGATCTTCTTTAGCAAGAGATAAAGAAGAGGTGCAGAAGGGTATAGGAGCTTGTGTTGGAAAGGGGTGAAAAAGGGAATGAATACATGCACTAGGTGATAGGTTGGGTACAATTGCAGAAGTTAAATCATTTCATACTTATAATCACCGTGTGTGGTTGGCTCTACTAGGTTCCCATTTTTTTCCAAAGGGAAAACTGAGTATCATAGATGTTAACTTAATCTGATCAATTATTTGGGCCCTTGTTTTACCAATTTAGAAGGTAATCCTTTAGTTCTTTCCTATGACTTTTCAAATCTCAGCTGTAAATGAGATAATCTAAAAGTATATATTTTTCCGCATTTTCATATATTTATACCTTAGTTATCCTATATAATAAAATAGAAACTCATAAATTGACTGTCCCTTCGCTACGCCCACCAGCCAATCAGGAGTGGATATGCAAATTAACCTGACAAAGATGGTGGGTTAATTTGCATACACAGGGGCCGGGAGAGCAGAAGCGGGAGAGCCAGCAGCTTGGGGGGGCGTGGCTCCCTCGGTCGCTCCCAGCGTGGGGAGCACCAGGAATTCTTAGAATAGTAGTTCTGATGGCAGCCCCAGGACTAGAAGTGGAAGCCCAGCATGCAGGGAGCACCAGGAATGCTGGGAATCGTAGTTCTGGTGGCAGATGGATCTCCTAGACACTAGAGCAAAGTGAGCCTGGAGCAAGTTACTGTTGCGGTGGGGGATGGAGGGAAAGCAAAGGTGAGAGACATAAGTAAAATCAGTGTCTAGGAAAAATTAAAGGGAAGATATCCTAAAACTTCCAGGAAATCTCCACCAATGAAGCAAAGAAAAAAAAGCACCTCTATTATTCTGTGAGCAACAAACCAAACTGGGTTGGGGGTTTCAGACAATTCACTCGTATGATTGCAAAGACAGACAGAAACTCCAGGATTGGAGAAGGCTCCCCTGAGGGCTCCCAGATTAGAGAGGGTGCAGGTCAGGCTGAGGGACCCCCCCAACATCCCCCCCTGCATGAATCTTCGTGCACTGGGCCCCTAGTTTTAAAATAATTTGGGAGAGGGATTATAATTTTGTATAGTTACAATACAAAACCAGTCCGGCTGGTATGGCTCAGTGGTTGAGCGTTGACCTATATACTAGGGGTCATGGTTCAATTCCTGGTCAGAGCATATGCCCCAGTTGTGGGCTCGATCCCCAGTGTGGGGCATGCAGGAGGCAGCTGATCAATAATTCTCTCTCATCATTGATGTTTCTATATCTCTGGCCCTCTTCCTTCCTTTGTGAAATCAATAAAAATGTGTTTTTTAAAAAAAGCAAGTCCAGCTCTGGGTTTGGTTTAGCTTTCCCCCACCAATAAGTATTTTAGGATAACTTTTGTGGGGGTTTTAAAATCTATTGTGAGCTAAAATTGATTATCAATTTTTGAATAATGTACAACAAATTGCTTTGCTGATCATGGTAAATTATGCAGTATAATGTCATTGAAATAACATTATTATGGAGATGGGTATTTTGAAGCCAAGAAATGCTCAGTTAAACCAGAGAAGCAACCCTTTCTACCTGTCCTCACTCTTGGTTGGACACTAATAGCTCCTGTCCCAGCATGCTGCTATGCTTTTCCCCAAGGACTTGTAAGCATCAGGTTTCAGAGTGTAGATGACCCACACCAACATTTGTGTTGGGGGCTGCTCTTGCCCTTTACCAACAGAAAAAAAAGCAAAGAGTAAAAATAAATCATTTTTCTGCCTGTGGATCTGTGTCAACATAGTCTTTGAGATTTGAATACAGCTGATCTCTGGGATACCAGTTTAAATTAATTCAATGATGAACTATGTTCCACTTGTATCACATTAATACCAGCCACTGCAGTGGAAGAGACAGGTGAATGAGACTAGATCCATGTTCTCAAGGTGCTTAGAATATATTGGGAGAAGCAAGTCATAGACAAATTCTACCAAATGTATAATAAAATGAAAGAGAGGCAAAACGTTTCTATGGGAGTTCCCAAATGAAGAGAAATTATTCTACTTTTAGAAAAGAGGGAGATCAGGGAAAGCTTTAGTAAAGGGTGTCCCAAAATTCACGCAAGAAGTAATTTTGATAGAAAACACAGGTTTATAATTAAAAATTGTAAATTTTTTTATTGATTCAAAAAGTATACAGTATAAGGTTATGTATGGAATAGCATATTGGGTAAATGGATTATCATGTCGCCATAGCGAGCACCATTAACTGTTATTGCCTGAGCAGCCGTATTTTTGAAGAAGAATGGTCCGATGATGCCTCCAGCCCAAAATCCGCACCAAACAGTGACACGTTGTGGATGCATTGTTTCTCAACAATCACTC